AATGCAAACAACTTATCAGTGGGTTTGGATGTTTCGCTTTTACCAACAAAAAAATCCCAACGTGAAATAGCACTTCCAACTGCGTTTGAAATTTTGTTCGCAAGGCAACAACAGTTTGCTTTACTCTGGAGGCAACTTAAATAAGAAACCAATAAACATAATCAATTGCCTTATAGAAGTATTATAAATAATTATATTAAATGGCAGGCGTTTTGATAGTTATCAATAGCCTCTTAGCTGATTTCGAACTTCACAGAGAGAAGGAGGACCAGACAAAGTTTCAAAATCCGGAGAGGAGGGGGGGGGGGAGGGACAGAAGGGAGATTCCCAGGTGTTAAAGACACAGGCAGATACAAATGTAGATAAAAAGGTGAGGTGAGTACGTTGAAAGTGGTCGAATGTGACATACAGTGGGGTCATGGTAGTTAGAAGTCAGAAGTCAACTTCCGGTTAATAGACTTTTTTGCCGTATGAGTATACGTTGCCCAGGGTGCACCACGTGGAGGTCCGTCTATCGCACACCCCGTACCATAAATAATAAAACGTGTGGTGTTTTTCCCTAATTGGGGAGCGTCTGAACACTGTAAACGCTGATCAAGTCCAGTGAGCAGCAATGGGAAATTGTTGTGCACAAGCTGACATTTAAATTCAAGTAAATAACTTTTAATAGAAGAAGTTATTTCTCATTTCCATTTTAAAATATTTTGAGTCTTCTCACTTGTCCCTACCGGTCAACCTGAGTAATCCGCTTGCATGTAAAAACCCAGCTGATGGGCTCGACTGAATACCGTCGTGACATGTGTATTGAATAAATTCCTTCCGAGTGATTTGAATTTGCATGAAATACGAAAGCACACACACAATCTGCAATTTGTTATCATTAAAAAAACAGGCCATTGTGTGTGGACGCCATTTTTTACTATTATCGGTTCGTTGTCAGCGTTGCAATATGATATTATGTTCAGTATATTCTCATCAAGGTAGTAACCTATCAAACCATGGTTTTATCTTTGAGAATTAGGTCAAATACGAGCTTAGATTTTGGTCATTTCAATTTCATTCCAGTAATTCTCCTGCATCTTGAGCTTACTATTGTAGTGTTTTTTTTGAATCTCCCAAAGGGGGGTGGATCAGTCTTTCTACTTATCTGGTGGAAAAATTTGCTTTCAAAGCTCTGATTATTAAAAATGAGCCTCTTTAAAAGTCACCTTCTCTGATCTTTTATCTTTAAAATGTCATTTTCCTCCTTGTGTAAAAGAAGTGACAACCATTTCTGCTCAGACTGCTCAAATAAATAAATGAATAGGCGCCTGAAACACTTATGAGGTGAGCAGGAAAATACGGGAAATAGGAGACCAATACTTTTGGATCTGTTGGACAAAAGACAGAATTTGTTCATTTTCTTATTTAAATAAATTTCCACTGAAATCGGCTTTAATTTGACCATTTCAGCGTTCAAATTGGTCTGATCCATGGCAAAAAACTGTCCAAATTTTATCGGAAAAACAAGTGATTTATACATTTCATCACTTATTGAGACATAACACGAGTAAAAGCCTTTTAAATAAAACGGCGTTCACCAGTTCTTATTCAAAAATTTGAACCAATTAACTATGCAATCAGACTCGAAGCGGTTGTTTCCATGAAGGAAACGAAATTCGTTGCCTCACGATTCCTTTGGTTAAGACTTGCATTACTTAAAATTAATTAATTTAATTTAAAATAGCGAATTCGAGGGGACAATGGATGTTTGCCACTTCGCGCCTACGTTGGAAACATTTTCGCGATGAAGATAAGGAAGTTGAAATAGGAAGCATTCTTCCACCTGCCTGTGGAGTTAGGAGTTAACATAAAGATGAAGCAGTCAGCTTTCAGAATTGCTTCATTCGTGGACGATGATGATGATGATGATATTGAATTATACATGTTTCATTGGTTCATAGGTTCGAACTGAATTTAAACTTGAAAGCTGAGAAGAGAGGGGTGAATTAAAAATCGTTCGAGTGAATGATTGATCGAGCAGAAAATTAAAACAAAACGACGGTCCTAATTACTTGGATTTTAGACTCCATTTTATAGTCGCTCGATCGACTGCAAGCCGAGAAAATTGTTGACATGTTAACCAACTTAGAAATCCCTACCATTTTTATAAGTTTTATAACTTATTTAAACTCATTTCATAAAAGTCGGTCTTGTTGAAACTATATTATACGAGCTCTTGTAAGCGGATTAATATCATGTTTGAGCACTGCGCATTCTCAATCTTTAAAAGAAATCATTTGCAGTGACAAATTAAGGCAAAAGAATTTTAAAAAAATGTTTCATGGTATTCCCTGAAAATTGTAGATGAGAATTCAATCAGCTGTCTAAGGAAAGGTTAGTGAAAAGTTGAAGTTTGACTAGTGAAGGAGTTAATTGCACTTCGCGTGAAATTCTTGACGGTAGAAATCAAACGAAATAACTCCTAGTTGAATGCGCTCTTTTGATTTTCTCTTCCTGGAAGTTAATTGAAATTTATGCATCCACTTCCTCGTAACCACCCCCCCCCCTCCCCCTTCCAAATAAACACTTGACAGAGCTCTTTTCCGCATTGCTGACAATCAAATTAATAATTAGTGCAATATAAACAAGAATTGCAAGTTGATGAAATCAGGTGTGTGCAAAGAAAAATTGAGTCGAGATAGTGGCGAAACGTACCTCACTTATGCACTCATGAACGGGTCCAACGCAAGCCGAGGCAAACCGAAGATCGATGTGTTTTACAGGGCAGCCAGTCGCTGAGGCCATGCAGACATTTTAACTTCTGATTGTCAGGAAAAGAGGGCCTCATCTACGAGACCTCATGATGTTATGCCTCCATCCAGGAGGAATACTCGAAAGTACTTCCCCATTTAAGAATCAATAACAGTAGTAATGTTGACACTAGTAAAATCATTAGTAATTTCTATGCCAAAGCTAATCGAAACGCTTATTAATTCAACTCTTTGGTAGTGACTCAAAATAGGGAGAAATTGTAATTTACTCAAAACCTTTATTCACAACTTTAGTTAACAGGGTCGGCCATGACCCTTATTTTAAAGAAGAGAGCTTTAAGATTGCTGGCAACAATACACACCGTATTCGAGCTTAACGATTGTTATGCACGTCCTGCCAACGTTGGAGACCATTAATATCTTTTTCCAACTTTCCCTAGATCCGGTGTGATTCAAGCGGGTGACTCACTGTTGGCCATTCAAGGTGACTCACCTCTGGGCAAGACGATTGACAAGTTGACGACCCGGTACCTACTGAGTCCCTCACTCGACGCAGCCTCCTCCACCGCCTCCTCCTCCACCTCGGCCGGCCGCCACCTCGCACTTGTGACGCAGTACACGGTGGCCGAGAATGTCATCCCCTCCAGCGGTGTCTTTGATGTTCGCATCATCAAACGATCCGCCAGTCTCGGCATCAACCTCCAGGGTAAGATGTGGGGCCTTGTTGAAAATGAATTTTTGGCCGTTCTGATATGGAGTACTTCCAAATATAACATGGTCTCCATTCTCTTCGGCTAAAAGAATAGTGGGGTGTCATCAAGCACTCTGAATAGGTGTATCTACTGCATTTGCAAATGTGGGTCAGTCAGTTTTAATGATTGGTACATTTTCAACGCATACTAACGTCGTTGAAACAATTTTTTGGCACTTCAATGTCCATTATTTATTTATTTATATCAAATGACAGGCGTCTTGATGGTTACCATTAGCACTTTAGTTGACTTCGGGTTTCACAGAGGGGAAGGAACATCAAATTGAAAAAAGTCGAGAGGGGGGAGGGAAGAGAAGTGTTTCAAAGATGTGAGAAAAGCACAAAGGTAGAAAAAAGGTGAGGTGAGTACTGTGGAAGGGGTCGAATATGGCATAGAGTGAGGTGATGGTAAGGTAAGTCTATCGCACACCCCTTGCTTGTCCATTATATGTCATCTTTAAAAGTTTTCCACCCTCACGATTTTGTAATTTGTGTTTCTTCTTTAATTTTGAATTTAAATAATTTACTGAAAGTTAAATTTACTAACTTAATTTAATATACTAATTAAATTTGAAAAAGCTAACAAGATATGAGAATTAATAGATTTATTTGTTTTTTTGATAACTCTCAAATAATTAAAGTTGCCACTAATTGCCATAGAAACAAATGTGTGCTCTAAATTAAGTTTTAAGGCAACCTGATGTTTATTAAAGTAGCGATGTATCTATGGGTTAAGACACGATCTCAACATTTTCTTTTAACCTGAATCCCCAGGCGGGAAGTAACATCTTGCACAGCCTTTTTCATATCAATTATGAACAGATTGGTATCATTTGGATGTAGAGTTTCACAATTGACGTCTATTTTTCCTTTGATATCATTTGCGTCATGTGATGAAGACATTCCTTTGCACACTTCCAAACTTGCCACTCTTGAAAGCCATTGGATTCCACCCAATCTACTTCTCCCTTCGTGTTGGCCTGACAACAAGTAAAAATAAAGTCTTGACAAGCACTTTTTGCATGTATCTCAAATTCTTTCAACCCCAATGTTGGCCATTTCGAGCACAGTTTGTATGTGCAATTGGAATTGATTCGGTAACCTCTGAAACAGCAGATGGGGAGTTGCATTTAGTTATGAATCGCTTCAAGAAAATGATTTTGGTTAAAGGAAGTTCTATTGTCAAGCCCTGGTTTAATTGATTTGAATGCACTGCTAACACACATTCGAGCGTTCTGAAACGATTACCATCATTGTTGCTCCCTCTTTCCTGTTTCTAACATTTCTTCAGATCTGGTTGACGTGCATGCTTGCATGCCATATCATAATCAACTAATAATTTCTAACTTATTTCAATTAAGCTCATTTTTAACTGCAATAGCAGCTGAAATGTCAATCTCCAAGTAAGTGGATTATTGTTTGAGAGGTTGGGGCGTCAAGCGAGACTGGGGGGAATGCAGTGTAAATTGGCGCCACGAGGCAAAGAATGCCTTTGCACAATGGGGAAGCAGCGGATCAATATCTACCAGCACCAACTTCACTTGCGTCAGATGAAGCATTTCTTCCCACTTGCCCAACTGCCAATTGCGTGGCGAAACGCACACGCCTGCCACTTAGCCCCAACTGCACCCAGTCGTGTAGCCAGCACTGCAGTGTGACCACTGGGTGCCAATTTTGGCAACTTATAATGGACTTTTGACAATATCAACTCTTGCCCCTTCCTCTCGCTCTCCCTCTCTCGCTCTCCCTTTTAAGACTCGCTTTCTGGATCTTCGACGTTGCCGCTTCCCATCCAAGAAAGTAGTTGTTCACGGTGACTAACAAAGATATTTTCGTGAGGGTCATGTTTATGGGATTGCAGTGTGCATGCGATAATATATGACTATGATGGACCAATTGGGTGGTAATTCGTGAGAGAATGGTATAGAAGGCGTGGTAAAACTAATGCTTATACCGTAAAATGTCTAAAAACCTGGAAATATCGAATAGTAAAGCATGAAGGAGTTGAAAAATTCGGAAGTCAGGTAGATGGACCAAAAGACAATAACGAAAAAGCGAGAAATGGCCCATCAAACGCCTCTCTTTTACCAGTGCTTATGCGCTAGCTGGTGAGGTTTCTAGTTTAGACAGTTTCTCCGTCTTGAGAAGCGACGTGCTTGGTTACATTCAATGGGAATATAGTGTTCCTAAACGGAGACACAAGTACGCTAGCACATGAACTCAAGCTGGAAATGAGAACTCCACAGCTGACTCAAGCAAAGTCAACTTCCTCCATCTTCTTCTCTCCCATCTCCCCCCCCCCCTCTAAAATCATTTCGTTCTCACTAGGAGGTCAGTCTGTGGAGTCATGTGATCGGAAGTAATTAGGAAACGGCCTTTGTGTGTGAAGATTCAAAATAAATAAACGAGAGAACTCTCTTCGAGAATGCCGTCGAAATACGCCCGAAGGAATACTGTTCAGAATTAAATTCACGCTTAAACTACTGTGCGCATCTTAACTTAGTCATTTACTAGTTCCACACAGAGAGAGAGCGTTTCCAGATCACCTGCCCTCGGCTAAATCAAGTTCTGTTTATGCTACCAGGAAATGAATATCGCTGACTTGGAATGAGGCCACTTTTCCTCCCATTAATCTTCAAGCTTGGATCCATTCAAAGTTTGCACTTCAGTCCCAAAGTAAATGAACCAAAACTCTGTTCAAGGTCATTGGAATTTTTTTCTTGTTTAATACCATTAAGAATTTAATATATATATATATATATATATATATATATATATATATATATATATATA